TGTATATGTATGTGTATATGTATGTGTATATATATGTATATATATATGTATATACAGTGGGGAAAAAAAGTATTTAGTCAGCAACCAATTGTGCAAGTTCTCCCACTTAAAAAGATGAGAGGCCTGTACTTTTCATCATAGGTATACCTCAACTATGAGAGACAAAATGAGAAAAAAAAAAATCCAGAAAATCACATTGTCTGACTTTTAAAGAATTTATTTGCAAATTATGGTGGAAAATAAGTATTTGGTCAATAACAAAAGTTCATCTCAATACTTTGTTATATACCCTTTGTTGGCAATGACAGAGGTCAAACGTTTTCTGTAAGTCTTCACAAGCTTTTCACACACTGTTGCTGGTATTTTGGCCCATTCCTCCATGCAGATCTCCTCTAGAGCAGTGATGTTTTGGGGCTGTCGCTGGGCAACACGGACTTTCAACTCCCTCCACAGATTTTCTATGGGGTTGAGATCTGGAGACTGGCTAGGCCACTCCAGGACCTTGAAATGCTTCTTACGAAGCCACTCCTTCGTTGCCCGGGCGGTGTGTTTGGGATCATTGTCATGCTGAAAGACCCAGCCACGTTTCATCTTCAATGCCCTTGCTGATGGAAGGAGGTTTCCACTCAAAATCTCACGATACATGGCCCCATTCGTTCTTTCCTTTACACGGATCAGTCGTCCTGGTCCCCTTGCAGAAAAACAGCCCCAAAGCATGATGTTTCCACCCCCATGCTTCACAGTAGGTATGGTGTTGGATGTAACTCTGCATTTTTTCTCCTTCAAACACGACGAGTTGAGTTTTTACCAAAAAGTTCTATTTTGGTTTCTTCTGACCATATGACATTCTCCCAATCCTCTTCTGGATTATCCAAATGCTCTCTAGCAAACTTCAGACGGGCCTGGACATGTACTGGCTTAAGCAGGGGGACACGTCTGGCACTGCAGGATTTGAGTCCCTGGCGGCGTAGTGTGTTACTGATGGTAGCCTTTGTTACTTTGGTCCCAGCTCCGTGTGGTTCTGGGATTTTTGTTCACCGTTCTTGTGATCATTTTGACCCCACGGGGTGAGATCTTGCGTGGAGCCCCAGATGGAGGGAGACTATCAGTGGTCTTGTATGTCTTCCATTTTCTAATAATTGCTCCCACAGTTGATTTCTTCACACCAAGCTGCTTACCTATTGCAGATTCAGTCTTCCCAGCCTGGTGCAGGTCTACAATTTTTGGAGTTTGGAGTGTGACTGTTTGAGGTTGTGGACAGGTGTCTTTTATACTGATAACGAGTTCAAACAGGCGCCATTAATACAGGTAACGAGTGGAGGACAGAGGAGCCTCTTAAAGAAGAAGTTACAGGTCTGTGAGAGCCAGAAATCTTGCTTGTTTGTAGGTGACCAAATACTTATTTTACCGAGGAATTTACCAATTAATTCATTAAAAATCCTACAATGTCATTTCCTGGATTCTTTCCCTCCATTCTGTCTCTCATAGTTAAAGTGTACCTATGATGAAAATTACAGGCATCTCTCATGTTTTTAAGTGGGAGAACTTGCACAATTGGTGGCTGACTAAATACTTTTTTTCCCCACTGTATGTATATATATATGTATATATATATGTATATATGTATATATATATGTATATATGTATATATGTATGTATATATGTATATATGTATATGTATATACATATGTATATATATGTGTATATATGTATATGTATATACATATGTATATATATGTATATATGTATATGTATATACATATGTATGTATATATATGTATATATATATATATATGTATATATATATATATGTATATATATACATATGTATGTATATATATGTATATATATGTATATATATGTATATATATGTATATATATGTATATATATGTATATATATGTATATATATATATATATATGTATATGTATATATATGTATATGTATATACATATGTGTATATATGTGTATATATATGTATATATATGTATATATATATATATATGTATATGTATATATATGTATATGTATATATATGTATATATATGTATGTATATATATGTATATCTTATTTTTTTGCATGTTTGTCACACTTAAATGTTTCAGATCATCAAACAAATTTTAAAAAATCCAAACCTAGCGAACCTATACATATTGTGACTCTTAACATATTTATGACGTTCTTATTATTGTGACACTTTTATTCAACACTAGGGGTGCTATTAAATCATACTAATAATACTTTTAATACTGAAATCCTTCACATTATCGCTACTGAGAATTTAACAAACATAAAAAAAGAACACAAATGACGTAGATAGGTTTACAGTTTTCAAGGTGTATATTTAAATATCATCTCTTACACACATGAAGATAAAGTTGTGAACACCGGCTGAATATCTATGATCAGAATCATTATAACTGTGTTATAACTGCTACTGTGTAAAATACGGAATACTGCTGCTAACAAGAACCTGATGTGTTTAAAGTGTTTAAACCAAATGTTATTGACCTTTAGTTCATATAGCAGTACTTTTAAATAAAAGTGCACGATACACTACTTTAGAATTCATTATTGAATTTTGCGCATAACAATGCGATTAATCGCAAAAAAGTCATGCGATTAAAAAATTTTAATCATTGCCCCACTAATAAATATATATATATTTATATCAGAATTACGTCTCAGGTAGGAACTAATGGGCCACAAACAGGAAGTCAGACCATATTGAGAGACGGACCAACATGTCGTTAGTTTAAGTCTGAACATGAGATTTAATGATTCTGAAAACTAAAAATAATTTTTCCATCAAACAAAAGATGAATAACTGTGTTAAAACCAAAGCTACAAAAAGAAGAGAAGTATACTACAACTCCCAGGGTGCATTTCAGAATACAAACAGCCAATCACAGAGCTTTAAAATGTTCATGCCCGACTTTTTCTGCACTTTGTAGATGATAAAATATCCAGCTGTTTAAATCAGTTCACTGTCAGATTCTGACTCCTTCTCCATAGCAACAGCAGCCGAGGATCATGGGTATTGTAGTTTTCAAAGACAGAAATGCCGCATTGAAACTTAATCAAATTATCTGGGTTTTTTTTACTCTGAGGACGGACAGCGTCCGTGTGTGACACAGTGATCAATGGCTCCTCATTGGTCCCCTCAGGCAGAACATGGTCAAGTGACACTGAACACATCAAACCATTAGAAACCAGTAGAACAATACTTTACTATTTGTGTATTATTTTAATTATCTTCAGGGGTAAAGTGTTACTGTTAGCATGTTAGCTTGTGATAGCTCTGCGTCATTCACATAAACATGCTAATGCTGACATGCTAACGATGCCCTCATTCAGATCAATGGAGCTGCACTTCCTGTTCTGGAAACTGTTTGAGATCAATGTGTCGCCTGAGGCACGCAGCACACAGACACACACACACACTCACACACATACACAGTACATGTATTGACACACTTGTGAGGACCACCATTCATCTATGTTTTTAGTTTTGGATCCTACAAAGGGAAGTTTTTAAGACAAGGTCCTTACAGTGAAGGTTCGACACCTGGTCCTCACAAAGTCACAATTGTCAAACACACACACACACAATCTTGTGTTTGGACCTTTGTCCAAAATGTCCTCACAGTAACGGTCATGGTCCTCACAAAGGTCATAGTTCAGGAGTACACAAGGACCTATGATATACTTGTGAGGACGGATTTGTTAGTGAGGACTTCTCTACGAGGACACATGTCCTCACAGTGCAGGTCAGAGCCTCCGGGCTCGTCCTCTTAAAGCTACAAAGAGAGACGAGCAGGTGTGTGTGTGTGAGAGGGAGGCATGTTTGATGTTGATGAGGGGCGAACGAGCATTGATCTGGAGAGAGAGAGAGAGAGAGAGAGAGAGAGAGAGAGAGAGAGAGAGAGAACAGACTCCAGTCCTGGTTGAGGCGTTGTGCTCGGAGGTCGGCGGCTGTTGGTGGGCGTCATCGTCGTGTTTATCTAACTCTTCTTCTTCTGCTGGCAGCACCGACAGCAGAGAAGAAGAAGTCCCAGGATGACGAGTGTGGCCCCGGCCAGGAAGCCGTACCGTAAGGCTCCTCCTCAGCACCGCGAGACGCGTCACGCCCCGTCTGTCGCTCCACCTCCACCTGTGCAGCAGCCCGACATCAAACAGGTAAACCGACACCCGTTAAACACAACTCCACCCCTCCCCCGCCTCCCAACCGCCACCTCTCAGTGGCCGCAGGGCTTCGGGTCGCAGCGCGGCCTCGCAACCTCATCGCTCTCGGACAGCGAGCTGGACATCTCGAGTCTGTCCAGCGTGGAGCTCTGTGTCCCGCCGCTTTTCAGCAGCCACTGGCACAACCGGACCAGAACCACGGCGGTGGGCGTCACCGCGAGTCTCTTCGTCGGCTGTGACAGCGAGGATTTTCCAACGCATCGAAAGCCCACCGCAGCCAGTAAACCCTCCTCTTCCTCCTCCGCCCGTGGCGCCAGAGGAGAGCGCCACCACCGCACTCAGACAGCCACGCCTCCGAAGGGGATCCTGAAGCAGCCGGTCTCGCTGGGCGTGGAGCACGCCTATGACATCATCAGAAAGTCTAAGTCAGAGGAGCAGCTGGATGACATCGGAGAGTGTGGCGGTGCCCTCCTCCACCTGCCCACCCGCTCTCTGGACCGGTCGGACCAGTGGGCGGCGGCCTCGCGGCGGTCCTCGGACCCGCCTTCTCCCTGCAAGACGGACTGCAACTGGAAGATGCAGGTTCTGGAGGAGAAGGTTCGCTTCTCCAACTTCCTGGACGAAATCACCTGTCGCGTCCTAAGCCCCGCCCACCTGATGCTGCTGGGCAGGACGTCCTCCAGCGAGCGAGGAAGCCCCACCCCCCACCGGCGCCATGGCGTCCCTGCCCACAGGAAGCAGCGGGCGGAGGAGGTTACGTCTGCCGACCGTAGGAGGCGCTGGGACGACTGGATGGCGGCCATGCAGCGGCCCGGCAGCTGGTACCAGCCGCTGCAGGAAGAGAGGGCGGGGCAGGAGACCCCGCAGCCGCACGGTGGCGTCACAGAAAGGGCGGGGCCTAAAGAGGAGGTGTGGAGGGTAAATAGAGGAGTAAAGATGGAGGTTCAGGAGACAGAGGAGCCACTAAGGCACAAACACAGACCTGCTTCTAATCAGTCTCTTCTGTCCCACATCAAGGTAGGTCAGGGGGGGGGGCACCTTCATCATCATCATCATCATCATCATCTCCTCCTTAAAATGTTTTATTATGAAAGGTCTTAAAGTTCTGCATTAAGATATGAAGTTTCTTGTTCAGGTCCACACTGGTTCAGGTTCAGACCGTGTCCTCTCTGGGTGTCTCCAGATAGCGATGATATTAAGCTAAAGAAGAAGCTCTAGATATATTATACCTACAACACATCAACATGTTTAGTTATATAATATAAACAGTTCTAGATGTAATATGCATGCTCTGATATTGATCGCCAATAATGAACTTCAGGGAACTGATAAATTGTTTATAACAAATCATCACAGCAGAAAGCTGCAGAACGTAGCAATCTGATTGGCCTTTTAGCAGCTTAGTCATTGATTTTATGGCTCTGGAGGCGATAGATCTGCTGAGAGGTTCCATTGTGTAAAAATCCAGTGCATTCTGGGATAGGACGTGTTTCCATACGTCGACAGAGATCGATGAAGAAACAGGAAACATCTGTCGTCTCATTGACGTTTACTGACCTGACATCACTGATGGGTCACATGTCGGTCATGTGATCTATTGTGTGATCAGTCGAATGAGAGCAGCAGTCCAGGAAATTTAGGAGAAAGTTTTAAAATTCCAGTCAGGTGGAGCTCAAATCAATCAATCAATAGTCACAATCAAAATATATATTTATTTTTGATGTTTTTATTTTAACAATAAACAATGTTTGTACGGCTACAGCTAACTATTTATTTATACTTATTTATTAGGGCCCGAGCACCGACGTAGTCGGAGCAGAGGACCTATTGTTATTCTAATGTTTATTATTGCGCGTGTTTTGTTGCAAAAAGGAGGTGCTTGGGATGCTGGCAATTTTTTGAAATTTGACACGCAAGCCAGAATTTGCGGAAATTGCAGTCTGATTGGGGTGTCCAGCTGCGGTATGAAATATTGACTCGATAGCGCCCCCTATTGAGTAGTCCCAACATTGGGTTTTACCTAGCTGTATGAAATTTGGTAGGTATGTGGATCGTGATGGGACGTACAAAAAATCGTCTTGGAATTTTTCACTAAACCAAACAGGAAGTCGGCCATTTTTAATTTTATGACCTTTTTGGACCATTTCAAGGAGCCCTACTTTAACGAACTCCTCCTAGAAAATTAATCAGATCGACTTCAGATTCGGTCAGTATGCTCTTGAGACCTTGGCAGTGAAAAGTTACTCAAAGATCAAAAGGTTATCGAACTATGTGTCCGTGGCGTGGCGGCAAACAAACACCATTCGTCACGAAACAGGAAGTTGTTGTAACTCGGCCGTACATTGTCGAATCTGCTCCAAATCTCTCATATGTCATAACATCCTGACCCGGAACACATCTATAAGACAATTTAGAATCATAGTAATAGCGCCACCTAGTGGCAACTGGAAGTTGTACGTTGTGTACTTTGACATCCTGCTCCTCACAGATTAATCAGATCCCTCTAAAATGTTGTCAGAACAGCCTTAACACCTTGATAATGCTTCATTGTGAAAATTGTAAGAAGTTGTTGAAGGGCGGCGACGTGGCGGCTCGGCGAATTTCGATCCTTCGCCATAAACGAATAAACCGATGTAACTCAACTCCACATCATCAGATCTTTACCAGATTTCACATGTTTGATTAGACTCCAGGCCTGAAGACATCTGCAGGCCAATTTTGAATCATAGTCATAGCGCCACCTACTGGTAACAAGAAGTTAAAGTCTTTATACTTTGGCTTGTTTCTCTTAGTAGGTAAATCAAATTTACATCAAATTAGTTCCACACAAATATAAGAAGTTCATAATGCCAGTTCATGAAGCTTTTGATGTTTCGTTGAACGCCGTTGCCGTGGCGACGCAGTCTTTGCCGTGAAAAACGAAGGTAATTTTGAGAGGCTAAAAATGCTCGAAACATAAGCAAACTTGGCACACACATTTAAAGCACAAAATGTAGTTATATAATATGATTTTATTCGTTCAGAGTGGCAAATCGGCTCAATAGCGCCCCAACAAAATTTCGACGAAGCAGCCCTCGCAGTATGTTTCACATGCATGTGATTTGTTTGCTCTGTAAAATGTTAGAAAATCTCACTTTTGGCTCTCAAAGTCCAAAAGTCTGCCAGAACAATCAAATGAAAGTGATTATAGTGAAACTGGTTATTGATCTTTCCAATAACAATGATGAATAGTAGCTATTGTTTCCATTCAAGAGCTCTGAACTTTTTATGAAATGATTAATATTTGATATATTATGAACTGTTACTAAATCTATAGATTCAGTAACTAGAAGGGTTTTGAGTTAAACACTGTGGATGTTTGAAGTGTTTCCTCTCTGTGGTTCCGATCCGCTTCAGACTTCAGTGGCTTCTTCCTCAGTTAATGCTTCACCCTTCCACCAAGTTTCATTACAATCTGACCTGTAGTTCTCCAATAACCCTGCTGACCGTCCTCAGGCTCCGCCTCCAGCAGGTGAAAACAGGATGATAATGACGATGAGGTCACCGTTTATCGGCTCACCTGTGCAGAGTGTCGGGTTACAGATATTTTCATGTTCTAATGTTTCTAAACAGCTTGTCTTTGAAGCCAAATCTTTGTAACGTGATGAAACATCAAGAAAATAATTTCTGTTTTATTATGATGAAAGATGTATTAATAAATAAATATATGTATTTGTACATTAATACCTGAGACTGACCTCCGTTTGTTGTGTTCCAGGAGGCGTTATCAGACTCTGACCGGATCAGGTGAGATTCATATCAATCTAATGTTTTATTATTAATATTATTTTTATTATTATTATCAACATTAGCGCTGCTTCATCAGCTCACATGATGATTATCATATGATTATTAGTTATCAATGATCATTTAAAAACAGCACTCATCTCTTCTTTCATCCACGATTTTCCCAACTGATGTGTTCATTGTACTTTTAATTATAATGATTTATATTTGTACAATATTTACATGAGATGTAGTAAAGTACAATATTTACCTGAGATGTAGTACAGTATAAAGTACTATATGTACCTCTGAGATGTAGTACAGTATAAAGTACTATATGTACCTCTGAGATGTAGTACACTAAAAAGTACTACATTCATTTAAAGTACAAGTACCTCACAACAGCCCAGTAGTTTGTTTAAATGTACTTAATGTTAAACTCAGAGACCGTCTTCCTGTTATGACCTCACTGACCCCTGACCCCCACTACCCAGAATCCTCCAGCAGCAGAATGAGGATCTACAGCGACGCCTCTCTCTCTCCACCCACAAGATGGAAGCCATGGAGGCGGAGTTTGACAGCAGCCGTCACTACATGGAGGCGGAGCTAAGCCGGACCAGAGACGACCTGGACAAGATGAGGGACAAGTTCCGCAGGTGAGGACTCTGATGATCCATCCATCCATCCATTTTCCTCCGCTTATCCGGGGTCGGGTCGCAGTGGCAACAGGCCAAGCAGGCTGACCCAGACTTCCCTCTCACCGGCAACATGTTCCAGCTCATTCTGGGGGATCCCGAGGCGTTCCCAGGCCAGCTGGGAGATGTAATCCCTCCAGCGTGTTCTGGGTCTTCCCCGGGGTCTCTTCCCAGTTGGACGTGCCTGGAAAACCTCCAGTGGGAGGCGTCCAGGAGGCATCCTAATTAGATGCCCGAACCACCTCTGCTGACTCCTTTCGACGCGAAGGAGCAGCGGCTCAACTCCAAGCTCCCTCCTGATGACCGAGCTCCTTACCCTATCGCTAAGGTTGAGCCCGGCCACCCTACGGAGGAAGCTCATTTCGGCCGCTTGTAACCGCGACCTTGTCCTTTCGGTCACGACCCAGAGTTCGTGACCATAGGTGAGGGTAGGAACGTAGACCGAGTGGTAAATTGAGAGCTTTGCCTTCCGGCTCAACTCCCTCTTCACCAAGACGGTCCGATGCAGCGCCTGCTTTACTGCTGCAGCTGCACCGATCCGTCTGTCGATCTCCCGCTCCATCTTACCCTCACTCGTGAACAAGACCCCAAGATACTTGAACTCCTTCGCTTGAGGTAGGCACTCCGTCCCCACCTGGAGGGAGCAATCCACCGGTTTCCGGCAGAGCACCATGGCCTCAGATTTGGAGGCGCTAACTCTCATCCCCGCCGCTTCACACTCGGCTGCAAACCGTCCCAGTGAATGCTGGAGGTCACGATCCGAGGAGGCTAACAGGACCACATCATCTGCAAACAGCAGAGAGGCGATCCCGAGACCCCCGAACCTGACGTTCTCCACCCCCAGGCTGCGCCTAGATATCCTGTCCATGAAAGTCACGAACAGGACCGGAGACAAAGGGCAGCCCTGGCGGAGGCCAATACCCACCGGGAACGTGTCTGAGTTATTGCCGAGAATGCGGACACAGCTCCTACTGCAGTCGTACAGAGACCGGATCGCCCATTGTAATGGGTCCGGCACCCCATACTCCCGCAGCACCCCCCACAAGAACCCCCGAGGGACCCGGTCGGAAGCCTTCTCCAAGTCCACAAAGCACATGTAGACTGGTGGGCAAACTCCCAGAACCCCTCCAGTAATCTTGCGAGGGTAAAGAGCTGGTCCACTGTTCCACGGCCGGGACGGAATCCGCATTGCTCCTCTTGTATCCGAGGTTCGACAAACGGTCAGAGCCTCCTTTCCAGCACCCTGGCATAAGCCTTCCCCGGGAGGCTGAGTAGTGTGATACCCCGGTAATTCGAGCACACTCTCCGGTCCCCCTTTTTGAAAATGGGAACCACCACCCCGGTCTGCCAGTCCATGGGCACTGATCCCGACCCCCATGCAACATTGAAGAGGCGTGTCAGCCAGGACAGCCCAACTATGTCCAGCGCTTTCAGCATCTCAGGGCGGATCTCATCCACCCCCGGCGCCTTGCCACCAAGGAGCTTTTTGACTACCTCAGCGGCCTCTGCCAGGGATATGGGTGAGCCTCCCCCTAGATCTTCAGGCGCTGCCTCCTCTGCAGAGGACATGTTGGTCGGGTTTAGGAGTTCCTCAAAGTGCTCTTTCCATCGCCCGACGTTGTCCCCTGTCCGGGTCAGCAGTTTCCCCCCCCTGCTGAGAACAGCCTGGGGTAAGCCCTGCTTTCCCTTCCTGAGCCGTCGGATGGTTTGCCAGAACCTCCTTGAGGCCAACCGAAAGTCCTTCTCCATGGCCTCCCCGAACTCCTCCCATGCCCGAGTTTTAGCATTCGCGACCACCGCAGCTGCAGCCCTTCTGGCCTGCCGGTACCTGTCAGCTGCATCGGGAGACCCCTGGGCCAACCAGGCCTTGAAGGTCTCCTTCAGCTTGACGGCTTCCCTCACCTCCGGTGTCCACCACCGGGTTCTCGGGTTGCCGCCACGACAGGCACCGATGACCTTCCGGCCACAGCTCCTAGCGGCCACGTCCACAATAGAGGCTTTGAACATGGTCGATTCGGATTCCATGTCCCCAACCTCCCTCGGGATGTGAGAGAAGTTCTTCCGGAGGTGGGAGTTAAAGACCTCCCGGACAGGGTCCTCCGCCAGACGTTCCCAGTTCACCCTCACTACACGTTTGGGCTTGCCGGGTCTTTCCAACCGGTTCCCCTGCCATCTGATCCAACTCACCACCAGGTGGTGATTAGTTGACAGCTCTGCTCCTCTCTTCACCAGAGTGTCCAAGACATACGGCCGCAAATCAAATGATACGATTACAAAGTCGATCATTGATCTCCGGCCTAAGGTGTTCTGGTACCAGGTACACTTATGAGCCACCTTATGTTCGAACATGGTGTTCGTTATGGCCAAACCGTGGCAAGCACAGAAGTCCAATAACGAGACACCATTCGGGTTCAGATCGGGCAAGCCGTTCTTCCCAATCACCCCCCGCCAGGTTTCTCCGTCATTGCCCACGTGAGTATTGAAGTCCCCCAGGAGAACTATGGAGTCGGTAGGTGGTGCCCTTTCCAGGACCCCTCCCACCGACTCCAAGAAGGCCGGATACTCTGAACTGCTGTTTGGTGCGTAAGCACAAACCACAGTCAGAGCCTTGCTCCTCGCAACCCGTAGGCGCATGGAGGCGACCCTCTCATTCTCCGGGGAGAACTCCAACACAGCGGCGCTCAGCCGGGGGCTCGTGAGTATCCCCACTCCCGCCCGGCGCCTCTCACCCTGGGCAACTCCGGAAAAGGACAAAGTCCAACCTCTCTCCAGGAGCTTGGTTCCAGAGCCTGTGCTGTGTGTGGAGGTGAGTCCAACTATATCTAGCTGGTATCGCTCCACCTCCTGCACCAGCTCTGGCTCTTTCCCCGCTAGCGAGGTGACGTTCCACGTCCCTAGAGCTAGTCTATGCTGCCGGCGATTGGCTCGCCCAGGCCTCCCGCCTGACCCGCCGCCCGGTCTGCATTGCACCCGACCCTGATGCTTGTCCCTGCAGGTGGTGGGTCCCCAGGGTGGCTGCTCCCCAGGGTGGCTGCTCCATGCTGTTTATTCGGGCTGAGCCCGACTGGGCCCCATGGGCGAAGGCCCGGCCACCAGACGCTCGCCGACGAGCTCCCCTCCTGGGTCTGGCTCCGGGAGGGTGCCCCGGTTTCCCTGGTCCGGGCGAGGTGGCTAAAGTCCGTGGGCCGCTTAAGACTCTGATGATCCGGATCAGTTATATTCGATCAGACTCGACTATAACTCTTCTGTGACTCCTCTAAAACTCTTCTGAGACTCCTCTAAAACTCTTCTGTGACTCATCTGTGACTAGTCTGTGACTCGTCTATAACTCGTCTGTGACTCGTCTATAACTCTTCTGTGACTCGTCTATAACTCTTCTGTGACTCGTCTGTGACTCTTCTGTGACTAGTCTGTGACTCGTCTATAACTCTTCTGTGACTCGTCTATAACTCTTCGGTGACTCGTCTAACTCTTCTGTGACTCGTCTAGAACTCTTCTGTGACTTGTCTAGAACTCGTCTGTGACTCTTCGGTGACTCGTCTGTGACTCTTCGGTGACTCGTCTATAACTCGTCTGACTCTTCTGTGACTCGTCTGTGACTCGTCTGTGACTCATCTGTAACTGAGCTCAGTAACACTTTTCTTTCTTTACAGACTCCAGAACAGCTACACAGCGTCTCAGAGAGCCAATCAGGATCTAGAAGAGAAGCTTCACGCTCTGGTAGTAACCTTTCACCTTTTTGTGTGTGTGTGTGTGTGTGTGTGTGTGTGTGTGTGTGTGTGTGTGT